TCGCGTTTTCTCTCTCTCTTCTTCTTTGATCGCGTTTCTCTCTCTTCTTCTTTTGGTCGGCGTTTTCTCTCTCTTCTTCTTTGATCAGCGTTTTCTCTCTCTTCTTCTTTTGATCGCGTTTCTCTTCTTCTTCTTTGATAGCGTTTTCTCTCTCTTCTTCTTTTGATCGCGTTTTCTCTCTCTTCTTCTTTGATCGCGTTTTCTCTCTCTTCTTCTTTGATCGCGTTTTCTCTCTCTTCTTCTTTTGATCGCGTTTTCTCTCTCTTCTTCTTTGATCGCGTTTCTCTCTTCTTCTTTTTGATCGCGTTTTCTCTCTCTTCTTCTTTGATCGCGTTTTTCTCTCTTCTTCTTTGATCGCGTTTTCTCTCTCTTCTTCTTTGATCGCGTTTTCTCTCTCTTCTTCTTTGATCGCGTTTTCTCTCTCTTCTTCTTTGATCGCGTTTTCTCTCTCTTCTTCTTTGATCGCGTTTTCTCTCTCTTCTTCTTTGATCGCGTTTTCTCTCTCTTCTTCTTTGATCGCGTTTTCTCTCTCTTCTTCTTTGATCGCGTTTTCTCTCTCTTCTTCAGAAAATCGCGTTTTCTTTTTCTTCTTCTATTCTTCCTCTTCCCTTCATTTTCCCCTCGTTCCGTTTTTATGCTTTTCCTTTTTTTCTTTTCCCAACTTTATCCAGTATATTTTTATCTCTTTAATTAAAGTTATTAGCAAATTCACATGATTTCGATGAAGCCACCTTTCACACCGTTCTTTTGTTTTTTATACCTGAGAATGTCTATAGTATTTTATAGATGTAATCGTTTTGAAATCGTTTGTAGGTTTGAATGCTCATGCTTTTCTCTAGTATGCTGCCATCTTTGGAAAATGGTATTTCTCTGGAACTTGATTAATAAAGAAAATCCGGATAACATTTGAAAAACTTGAATGCACAAAGATATACTATTTTGTTCAGGGGCAAATCCTTTCCCATTTTATTATGAATGAGATGGTTAGCCAAAATGAAAAGGTGGCTTTCTGCTGTATTCTGTTTGAATGGGAAGATGTATATCATTTAATACTTTTTTAAAATCTAAATTCCCTTCAAGGCAAAGGTAATCATGGCTTGCCATAATTATTTTTTTTTTTATCTGAATTGCTATGAGTTTTTGGGAAAGACAGTGAAGTTGTCTTGTCTATATTTTTTTTTTTTTTTAAAAACATTTTTCACCCCAACCAAGGTGATAATGCTACTAAGACCCAAAGGATTTACTTGGAGTGAAAGAGAATGAAAAACTTTAGGAGTAAGGACCAGAAACCCAATTCTAAACAAGAAACAAGGGATAAACCTTGACTCCTGTTCAAAAGTTGAATGAATGTAAATTAGGAGATAGACAAACCTATCTACTCCGACTGAAAAAGAAATAGTAAATAAAGTGTCCAATTTGAGAAAAATAAAACAATCCAAAATGGATACATAAACATGGCTTTGTATTCAATTATAGACAAGAAAATACAGTGTGTAAGGTGATAGATTTAATGATATATATTTGCTTGTATGTGAGAGAGTTGCCTTGAACATTTAAACCATCATGCTCATGATTTGACACGATTGGTTGGAAAAGTAAATGATATGCCCCCATTAGGGGATGTACCAATAAACAAACTGAAAGTTTATACTTATTAAGATGAAGGAGGAGTGTGAACTAGGAAATAGACAAACCTATCTACTCCTATTGAAAAAGAAATAGTAAATAAAGTGCCCAATTTGAGAAAAATAAAACAATCCAAAATAGATACGTAAACAAACCCGACAGAATTATATCGCTATATAAATAGTGCATACTGGTACTTGTCATTTTAAAACCCATTTCAAATATGATACAACTTTTCAAAAAAAAAAAAAAAAAAAAAGACATAGGGATGTCTGTACTGCCATGTTGTATTTTACTCAAGTCGTATTATACACAAGAAAAGACAGTATGTCAGGCAATAGACTTAATGATATATTCTTGTATATTGTGTGCGTGTGAGAGAAAGTTGTCTTGAACTTTTAAACTATCACACTCACAATGTGACATGATTGGTTGGAAAAGTAAATGATTTGACCCATTAGGAGCCATTGATGTGCCAATAAACAAATTGAAAATTTATATCTTTCTTCATATGCCTTTCATTCTACATATTCTGAGAACAGCAACTGTGACCGTGTCAATTGCTGATTATAAGCTTACACTTC